CGCTGTCCCTCAGCTCTTCAGCTCAAGGCGAGCGCTCTACCACTTGAGCTACAGCGCCACTTCCGGTTTTCTGGTAGTTTATTGGAGATAGGAGTCTCACGGTCTCTCCTGCCCGGGCTGGCTTTGAACCGAGATCCTCAGATCTCAGCCTCCTGAGTAGCTAGGATTACAGGCGTGAGCCACCAGCGCCCGGCTTAAGTCCTTGAGACTCTTATCTCCAGTGAACCACCCAAAAAGCCAGACATGGAGCTGTGACTCTAGTAGAGTGCTCACCTTGAGCACAAAAGCTCAGGGATAACATCCAGACCCGGAGTTCAAGCCCCAGGACTGGTACCAAAAAAATAAATAGACAACACCTGGTTTTGAGAAGCTCTCTGTTGAACCTCACTTTACTCCAACCCTCTCTGTCCATGACATTGTCAAGAGGGCTGGGAAACTGTCTAAGAACTGTGTATCCCAAGTTCTTTCTGCAGCCCTGTAAATGGGGATCCCCTTCTCCTCTCTGGATGGACTCCTCACCGCTTCATAGAGGACCCTCAGGAAGCTGATCTCATCATTAAGGCCATCCATCTTGGCCTCCAACTCCACCTTGGTCATGTAGGCCGCATCAACATCCTGCAGAGGAAGAGGAGAGACAACAGGCAAGACTCACAATGGGGACAGAGAAGGTATTGATCAATATCTAGTAGGAAAGGCTACACCACACCAGGTGACAATTATTTGGTATCTTCTGCACCTAAGTCCATATGAACTCATGGAAGTTGATTGTCCGAACAGGCTTTCCTCCCCATCTTAACTCCTTAGAACTTGGACTGTCACCTCACCCACTTCCTTTGACTGCCCAGGTCTGAATAGTAACAAATGAAATTCATTTCAAGGCAGACAAGGACCAAAGCAGAAATGGACCAAGCCAAGCCAAGAACGATCTTCAACCACGGGGGAACCTGGGGGCTCTTGCTCCATCTTTACCTTCTTGAGAACCACAAAGTCATTCTCTGCAGATGTCCGCTTATTGATCTCATCTTCATACCTAAGGGACAGAAAGGAAATGGCAAAGCCCACGGTGAGCTAGCGCTTCTGAAATCTCTGCTACGTATTCCTAAATATCTATTTGGAGATATCCAGGTAATTAAGCTCTACTTCCCATGTTCAGTGAACTCAGGGACAGCCCCCAGGCCCTGTTCAAGCTCTATGACCAAGAAAAAAAAAAGAATGGAGAGACAGAGGGAAAGGAATGGTGGGATAATACAGTCATAATATTCCATGTACATATGTGAGTATGGAACCACAAACCTTGAGGAGGTGAGGGGGGTTGGGAGGGATGGGAAAGAACATGGATGGGAGGTGACATTGATCAAGATACATTGTACTCATGAAGAAAGTAGCATGTTGGGGTGAAATCCCTCTGTACAGCTACTTAAAGATAATAAAAAGAATTTTAAAATAATAAATAAGATTTAAAAAAAACTGAAGCTCAGAGATGTTAAGCAACTCCCCAGAATCACATAGCTAATGAGTGAGGAATCAATATTCAAACTGATCCCCTCTGCCTCAGTACTCCGCGAGCTCCTCATGCGGTGTGTGTGGCAGACATGCTCCCTGAATCTAACAGTAAATTTATGTTTGGGGCAATTTGTGATTATTAAACTAACTCCATGAAAACAGGAGGGCCCCATAAAATATGGGTACGAGGGTCAGACTAGACCCCCGGAGATTTCTTCAGAGCCTGAGATTCTAAGGCATTAGAGAAGAGCTGGGGTGTTTGGACCATCCAGACAGAGGTGTTAAAGATCCCTTCCTTCCTTCCACATACTTGGTCTTGAAGTCCTCCACACTGTCCTGCATGATCTTCAGCTCTGACTGTAGGCGCCCTTTTTCATTGCCCAAGGTGTCCAGCTGCTTCCTTAAGGCACTAATATAGGTCTCAAAGAACGGATCCAGGTTTCTTGGAGATGAGGTGGTCGTCTGCTGCTGGAGGAGGCTCCATTTGGTCTCCAGGACTTTATTCTGTTGCTCTAAGAACCGCACCTGTGTTGAACAAGACACAAGCGAACCAATGAGGAACTAAAGTTTATCAGGATGGCCAACAAGGTAACACCAACCCAGCCAATCCAGGCAACCAGTCTACCTAAAATCACACAAGTAGAGTCACCATCCAATGGGGTGACCACAGTGGCCCCACTCCTCAGCCCATAGCAGCAAATGGGCCACATGGACTGTGGAGAACAGAGCAAAGGGCCCAGCAGTGCAGAAAGACTGGCTCCCTGACTGCAGGAATCCACAGCCCCCTGGGTGAGTTATTAGAGAAGAACATGAAACTTCTATTTAAAAAATCATCCATTCTTTGGAACCAGGAGCTACAGTCATAGTTGAAATCTCTTGCATTCAAGTGATCCTGACTCAAGGCAAAGAAAAAAAATAGTAAGTTCACTATGCACATTTTTGCAGTGCTGGAGCTGGAATCCAGGGCCTTATACATGCTAAACAAGCCCTCTACCAATGGTCTGTATCCCCAGCCTTCAGCAGAGACTTTGAAAATAAACTTTCTTATTAATGCTTCTGGGCATGATTGGGTACAGGTATTTACAACCAAGGCCTAACAGGTTCTGAGTCTCAGCTAGATCCAGCCTGCCAGGGACTTTTGGGACCTCCTCTCTCTCTCTCTCTGAAAAGACTCAGCCAGTCCAGGCAAGAAAGAAACTTAGCAGGACAATCCCACATCTATGCTTCAGAATTCAGAGGCTGATTCCCTTCTGAACCCAGAAAGTGAGATGAGATGAGGTGAGATGAGGTGAGACAAGGAAGCATGAAGATCCTTTAGTCTTGCTTTTATATCTGTCTGTCTGTCTAGTGTCACAATAAAGCGCCTGACATCAATAAGGATTTATTCAAAGTTGTGAGAAGAGTACATATAATCACTCTGTTTATTCCAGGGCCAGTCATTCTTGTCCCATGCATCTAAGAGGACTAGCACTTTTTTTTTTGTCAGTTGTGGGACTTGAACTCTGGGCCTGGGCGCTGTCCCTGAGCTCTTCAGCTCAAGGCTAGTACTCTACCACTTGAACCATAGCGCCACTTCTGGTTTTCTGGTGGTTTATTGGAGATAAAAGTCTCACAGACTTTCCTGCTTGGGCTGGCTTTGAACCACAATCCTCAGATCTCAGCCTCCTGAGTAGCTAGGATTACAGGCGTGAGCCACCAGCTCTCGGCTAAGGGGCCTAGGACTTTTTTTAAAAAGACCTTCTGTTTTTTTCTTTTTTAGTGGCATATATTAAATTGTACATATAAAGAGTTTCATATTACATTAAAAAGAACAGCAAGAAAGTACGTATAATGTAGTATGTGATTTTTTTTTGTTTCTTCCCCTATAGTATAACCCCTGTTGTCACTGTATTTGATGTTAGTGTCCTGCATCTTGTATATACATTTTTCTAATTTGGGGAGGGGAAGGGAAATAACAAAATGCTGAAATAAGGATACAGGGCAACCCATTGTAACAATGAGATGTACAAGACAGTATGTTGAAAATGAACTTTACAACTTGGAGGGGGAGGGAGGAGTTGGGGAGGTGGGGAGGAAAGGGATGGTAAGGAAAAACAAAGGAGGGGTTAACAATGCTCTATAAGAAATAGACTCATTACCTTGCTCACGCAACTGTAACCCCTCTGTACAGTATCTTTACAATAAAAATATATATTAAAAAAACAAGAGTTTCATAAAAACATTTCATAACCTGGCACTGCTAACTCATACCTATAATCCTAGCTAGTAAGGAGGCTGAGATCTCAGGATCCTGGTATGAAGGCAGCCTGGGCAAGAAAGTCATGAGACTCTTATTCCAAATTAACCACAAAAGAACCAAAAGTGGAGCTGTGGCTCAAGTGGTAAAGTAATAGTCTTTAATACAAAAGCTCTGGGATAGCACCCAGGTTCTGAGTTCAAGTCCTCCAACACATACACATGCGCACACACACGCACACACACACACACACACACACACACACAGCACAACACATTCCATGCATGCATATTATACTTTCCTCTTTCTTATTCCTTTCTCTTCCTCTCTCTCCTCCTTCTCATGTCCCTTCCTCTTACCATAATACTCAAGGGGCCTAAGACTTAGACGCACCAAGAACTAGGCTAGCCAGGAGTGAAGAGTAAGGTGCTATACGCATCCCCACAGTCACCCATCTGTAGGTGGCTCAGAGCTCTGGGGTGACCTCTTCACCATCATCCATCATACTTAGCTGTCATGGAGCCTCCACAATATTAATCTCCAGAACTTACAGGAAAGAAGGGAAGTTGGGCTACAGAAACTTCCCAGAAACCACAAAAAGACTGAACCATCCCTTCTTCTCCTCAGAAAGGAGCCATTTTTCCCAGTCAGGAGAAGGAAGGAGATCTAAGGTCCTGTGGGCACCTAGAATCTTCCACAGAACTCAGTGCCTTTTTCCTTTGCAAAACCAGCTTGACTTTCTTCTGTTCCCAGAACACGGTTCCCAAGAGTTAACAATATGTTAACAAAGGTTATATTGTTTCCCACACCAAAACCTGAGGAAAAGCAGGGAGAATTATGAACCTACTCTCTAGCTGGGGTGACCAAAGCCAAAGAACTATTTCCTAGGCAGTTTGTCTAGGGATCTGATCATGAATGAACTGCTCTGAATGTCCTATCTTCCACGGCCAAGAGACAAAAAAAAAAGGAAAGCTGGGAGTAGTGAGGGTCCTTTGCAGCCAAAAACTGAGTCCTAGAGAAATTCAGGGATAATCCCCATTAAAAACACCTCGTGGCTGGGTGCCAGTGGCTCACACCTGTAAACCTAGCTACTCAGGAGGCTGAGACCTAAGGATCCCAGTTCAAAGCCAGCCCAGGCAAGAAAGTCCATGAAACTTCTCTCTCCAATTAACCAGCAACCCTATTTCCAATTCACTTGAGTTGTAACTCAAGTGGTAAAGCACCAGCCTTGGGGAGGGGAGGAGAACAACTAAGGAACAATGCCCAGGCCCTGTGTTTAAGCCCAGTACCATCTCTTATCAAGCTAGGGTCTGAGATCCTAGGTCTCAGGAGTTCTCACTGTGCCCCCAACTTCTCTGGCCTAGGACTCACTCACCTTGTCGATGAAGGAGGCAAACTTGTTGTTGAGGGTCTTGATCTGCTCACGCTCCGCCGTCCGGACTTTCTGGATCTCAGGATCAATTTCCACATGGAGGGGAGTCAGCAGGCTCTGATTGATGGTGACCTCTTGAATCCCCCCAGCAGGGCACACAGGGAAGCCAGGACCACCCCGGCCATTGAAGGAGCCTCCAAATCCACCACCAAAGCTGCCAGCACCAAAGCCTCCAACACCAAAACTGCCAGCACCAAAGCCTCCGGCACCCCCAAAGCCAATGCCTTGGCGGGACCCAGCCACACTGCAAGATATACTCCTGTTCCCCCCAAGATTGTACAGGCTTTTGCTGCCAAAACCCCCAGAGGAACAGCGTCCTGCACCTCCTGACATGGAGGCTGAGCTGAAGGCAACACGCTTGCCCCCACCGACGATGGCTGAGCCGCTGCTGAAGCCTCGAGATCCTCCTCGAACATACTGCTGTCTAGCAATCATGGCTGAGGAAGGACGTGAGCTGTGAGCTGTTGAACAGAGGTGAGAGAGGCCAGGCCGCTGAATGCCAGAGCCCGAGGTCTGGGTCTCTTATATGGGTTGGAGCAGTAGGGCTTGGTTACAGGGGCATAAAGGGAAAAATCTGAAACATCCCTGGGCTTGGCCTTTGGCACTGGCCCATGCTTCTTGTACCCTGCTGAACTTGTCACTAACACACCTACAGAAGTCACTGGAAGGGCACAGGTTGCTGGATCCCATCCCTTTCCCTTGAGGAAAATCCAAGCCAGCGCCTCCTGCACCACTGGCCCTGCCTGGACTGAGCCCTGCCTGCCCCCCCCCATTACCTCCCCACACCTCACCTGCTCCAGACAGGCAGCCCTGTGGCACCTCCTGTCACGCTACAGAATCTGGGACCCATGATCCTGGGTTCAGTCTGCACACTTTGAGCGGGTCACCCTCTGAACACAGTCACTTTACCCCTAAGATAAAAATTGTACAAATATTTACCTTCGCTGCTTTTCAGAACACAGTGAGATTGTGATTCATGCAGTGCTTTTGAAACTTTCATGCACTGTACATAAACTTTGTATCATTGTCATCCTAGCTCCTTAGGGTGTATTTAACCCCAAGCACCTACCCAAAAGAAAGAAATCTGAAGCCAGGCACGGCTAGCTGACACCTGTAATCCTAGCCTCTCAGGAGGCTGAGATCTGAGGATTGAGGATTGAAGCCAGCTCAGGCAGGAAAGTCTGTGAGACTCTTATCTCCAATTAACCAGCAAAAAAAAAAAACAGAAGTGGAGGTGTGGCTCAAGTGATATAGCACCAACTTTGAGTGAAAAAGCTAAAGGCTAGCACCAGGCTCTGAGTTTAAACCCCAATCTTGGCACACACTCACCCACATGCACATGCACACACACACATGCTCAGAGGACATCTGTATTGCATCCTCTGGTAGTCTCCTAAACTTAGACCAGACTCCCTTCAACTTGCCTTGTACTAGGGCTGGTACTGAGTGGAGAGGGGTAGTAGGGGTCCACATCTTCCCTTGTAAAACCCCTGTCTGCTGCCTCAAGCCTCCCACTGCTTCTCGGGTCTCTGTAGTTCTTGCCTGAGCTGTGCTTGAGGACCTTGCTCTAGGCTGGCCCTGATGGCATGGGCCTTGCCACTCTCTTTGCTGTCCTGGGGTTTGCTCAGTTACCTCAGAACAGAGCACATCTTTTTCCTCCAGAGTAACTTCTCTATTCAAGTCAAGAATTCCGAATGTGTTTGACGCTGGGAATCTCTTTGGCAGAATGGTAAAACCAATGAGCCCCTTCTCAGAGCCATGCTTTTAGGTGCAAAATCCCCTAGTTTTAAACCTTAAGTTCTTGTCCGATGAGTATAAATGATGTTGTGTCCAAATTCCACACATTGCCATTAACTAGCTGTACTGCCTGGGGTGGGTGACCTAACCTCTCTGAAACCTTCTCATCTATAAAATGAGAGACCTGCCCCACAGATGATAAGACAAGGTACCTTATAGAGGGCCTACCGGGCACATGGGAGGTCAGTAGGCATTCATTCTCTTCCCAGCCAGTCCTTTCCACTGCCACTTACAAGGGGAAACTGGGGAATCTGTGTCCCATACTTTCCTCCTCTTCTCCCCTCAACCTGCCTTAGATGCTGACCTCTCCTTGCTATTGGCCTGGAGTAAAGGGATGGGGTAGAGGGTGGTCATTGCAAGGGTTCGAAGCTCAAACATCACACATCTGAAAGACATGTCAGTCAGCAGAGCAGGTGACCATTGCAAAGCCAACATCATCTCCAAGAGAAGAGGCTAAGCACGCACTCATCCTTGAGCACCAGCTGGGCCTGTGTGCTAGACAACTTACAGACACAGGTCAGCCAGTCTTGTGTGTATGAAAGAGAGAGAGAGAGAGAGAGAGAGAGAGAGAGTGCACACCAAGACTGGGGCTTGAACTCAGGACCTCCTACGCTCACTTGGCTCTTTTCCCTTAAGGCTGGCACTCTTGAGCCACAGTTCTATTTCTGCCTTTTTTTGTTGGCTAATTGGAAGATGAGAGCTTCACAGACTTTCTACTCGGGCTGACTTCAAACTTCAATCCTCAGATCTCAGCCTCCTTCACTAGCCAGGAGTTCAGGAGTGAGCCATAAGCCGCCAGGGCCCCCACTAGCCAGTCTTCTTAATGGGTTTCCTGGGCTGGTACTGCCAGCTCTGCTTTTGAATGATGACAGGGGCACTCAGAGAGATGAAGCAGCTCCCAGGCTTGCACAGCATGTGGCAGCGCCCATATCAGCCTGGTTCCAAGGACTGGGAACTCATGGTCTCCCTCCCACACAGCTGCGGCTGGGTGAAATTAGTCTGTCTACTGTGCAGCCCCACAAGGGCAGGATAAGGCTCCTGAATGCACCTGACGGGCCCAGCAACCTGGGATGAAGGAATTATGGGCCACTGGCAACCCTGGTCAACAGGTGTCCATTCTGGCTCACGCTGGAAGTGGACATATGAGGAAGGAAGGCACACCCAAGAGAGAGAAAAAAAGAGTTTCATGGTCTTTTCTGCCCAATCCTGGGGCTTGAACTCAAAGCCTGGGCACTGTCCCTGAGCTTTTGTCTTCCAGACTAGCTGAGCCAAAGCTCCAATTTTGGTTTTTGGGTGATTAATTAGAGATAAGGGTCCCAGGGACGTTCTTGACTGAGCTAACTTAGAAACATGATTCTCAGCTGGGAAGGGATGTGAAGGGTAAACCAAAGGAGGAGGCTGCAATGCTTGGTAAGAAATGTACTCATTATCCTGCCCATGTAATTGTAACCCCTCTGTACAGTATGTTCACTAATAAAATAAAATTAAATTAAAAAAAAGAAACATGATTCTCAGATCTCAGCTTCCTGAGCAGCTAGGATTACAGGTGTGAGCCACAGGCGCCCGGCTCATCTCTCTCTGTCTCAGGAACGGCCTGTGTGCTGCAACCTCCATCATGGACAGTGCTCAGGCTCTGAGTGCAAGCCCTCGGATTGGCAAAAAAAAAAAAGTATCAGGAAGCTAATGCCAGAGTAAAAACCCACAGCTTGAGCTGGGTTTGGATGGCTCATGCCTGCAATCCTAGCTACTCAGGAGGCTGAGATCTGAGGATCACAATTTGAAGCCAGAGTCAACCCAGGTTGTTTTCTCCAAATAACTATCAAAAAGCCAGAAGTAGAGTTGTGGGTGGCTCAAGTAGTAGAGGGCCGGCCTTGAGCAAAAAAAGCTAAGGGACAGTGCTCAAGCCCGGAGTTTAAAGCCTAGTACTCGTACCAAAAAAGAAAAAAAAAAGAGGACAACCCCCCAGAAAAAAACACCCCCTAACCCACAGATTTATCTGGACATTAGTGGATCGTGTCTGTAATCCTAGCTCCTCAGAAGGCTGAGATCTGAGGATTTTGGTTTGAAGTCAGCTAGGGCAGAAAAGTCCTAGGACACTACTTCTAATTAACCAACAAAAAAAAGCCAGATATGGAGCTGTGGTTCAAGTCAAAAGTGAGGAAGCTAGTCACAGCTCTCAGGCTCTATTCAAGCTCCAGTACTGGCACAAAGACAAAAAATATAAAAAACAGAACAAAACATTCCCCCCACTCCATAGCTTTGTTGAAATTAAAACAGCAATTGCATTGCAGAGTTCAGAGGCCCAGCAACAAGTTATTCAGAAATCCTTGCAGGGTTCCCATGTGGATTGTTCTTGGGGCCTAAGGACCCTGGGGTTGCTTCAGGGGGTCCTAGGGGAGACCAGTAGGCCACAGGACTGGTGTTCCCTCCTCTGGACTGACCAGACAAAGCCTTACCTGCCTTGCAGTGATTGTGCACATGAAGTGTTCCCCCTCCCCACCTCGAGAATGCTTGTGTTGCAGAAGATCTTGACGTACCTTCCCAGAACAAGAAGGGCTTTCTCTGTGGCCCAGGAGAAAGGATCCTAGTGTCATGATGTGCCAACCCCACCCTGGCCTCTTTGCCCTCTTGAAGGTTCTGCGTGGCAGAATCTCTGATCTTCTTGTTGGCTCTGCCTCCCTCAGAATGACTCAGAATAGTGGAGGCTGGGTGATTGAGCAGGGCCAGGCGTTGACCCAACCAGAAAAGGCAGGGTATGTTCCCACACCATGCACCAGGCTTGGGGCCCAGAGTGACAGAGGACTTGGATGGGTAATCCCAGGCTGAAAGAGAGGGATTTTGCCTCTGGAGGGCCCTGGGCAAACACACCCTCCCACTCCACCTCCACACCCCACAGCTGCTCCGTCCTCCGTGTCAGGGCTGGGATAGCTGCCAAAGGAAGTAAGGTCACAGAGGGAGATAGGGAAGGTCATGGGGGAGGGGGCTAGGGCTGGGGGTGGGACCAGCTGTCAGCTGCCATGCTAGATAGAACCTTATTCCATTGCTTGCCTCCAGTCCCTATGAGAAGAACACATCTTTCCCACAAAAAGGCTCTCTTCTCTCTGCCTCTCTCACTCAAGAAGTTCTCTCTTATATAAACTTTTCGTTTTCATGCTAGTTTGAGAGTTTTGTGACCTTTTGACAATTCTGATGATAAAATCATAGTGATAACAGTTCCAGATCAGAATTTTCTTACTATGTGACTTGGGATTGCCACGGGATTAACAATTATTTAGTTTCAGTTAACTAGAAGATACAGGATTTGTTTCTCAGAATCATGTTTTACTTTATTGAGGACCAGGCCACGCAAACTAAGACTTTAATCATGGAACAGAGTAGGGACAGAAAGGAGAGGGACCAGGTCTGCAGAATGGGCAGGTAGGTCGGCTGCCATTCTCACAGACAAAAGCTGTTGTGTGGGGCAGAATCACCCAGAGAAGACATTATAAAGTCCCAAGCTTTGAAATTAGATGGGTAGGACTCCCATCTCCACACCTTCCTAGCTGGGTGGTCTCAGGAAAGTCACCTTGCCTCCTGAGCCTCAGAGCTGGGATAGCAGACCTTTTTGGAAAGGTTGTCATGATGAATAAAACAATTGT